GACACATTAGCCGAAATGATGGTGGCCGGAGGATTTGGTCGGAGGATAAATGTGGCCGGGTTATCTGGCGGTAATAACGCGAAAAAGGCTACTTAAGGGTGGAAACGAGGGAAAAGAAGAGAGGGATGGGATGAAATATCAACGTCCAGGCCACCGCTTATGGGGTGGAATACATCACGTACTAATTCCCAAATAGGGTAGCTCGCTTCGTGTTCGGGCAAAGCTGTCTGCTTATTCTTAAAGACGTTAAGGAGCACGCGGAAAATGTTATGCAAAGTGGCGGCGAGCATCGACGTTGAACGGCCGCTAATTTATTCCGCGGTTCTTTTTGCGTCCCCTCTTATCTGCCGTCCGTTTAACATTCAAACGAGCTGATGAGCTTCGAAAGACACTGCGTTATCGTGCGATGCCTCGCGTTATGATCTTATGAAAATTTCACGGCGCTCCTTGGCCGCTATTTCGAAGGTAATGCGCCCTGCCAGTTTCGCTGATTTCTCGTTTCGAATGATTTTCGGCAAACTATATTTCAGATTTAATTCTTAATTTAGGAATCTTTTGGAAATATGAATGATCCGCAAGAGAGGATCGATCAATGCAATATAGATAGTTGGAAGAAAATTGGCGAAATTTTTTTGAAATTTACTTCTCACAATTTGATTTTCAAAAAATCGAGCAATTTATCCGTCACTATTTAGCATTGAGATAATTTAAAAGATTTCACAATCTAATAGAAGAATATTGAATATAAAACTCAATATTTATTCTAAAAAATAGCACGGCACATCCAACCCAAATTTTCCAAGAATTACACACATCGTTAAAAGTTATTTGTCCTACCATACTTATAAAAAACTTTTACGATTAAAATTTTTAATTAAAAATAAAATCGAGAAATCTATCTCGAATCTATCATTTCACTCTCACGCAACAATACTTAGATCGTTAAAAAAAAATAATTGATCACGATCTCCGTTAAATCTGTGCTACGCAACAGATTCATCCCCGGTGAAATTCCGTCGAGCAGCGCCATATCGTGGTCTCCCAAAAGTTTTAAAAGTTCCCACTAAACAGATAAAGCAGGATAATTCCGGGATTCCGCGAAACTATTTGATTAAAACTCTGGAAAGTGGCAGGCATCCCTCTGCTCGAGCATTGTTTATGGAACAATGGATAGATTTGGCGTCTGGTCTGGCAACCAGATTCACACCATCTTCTTGCACCATCGCCGCCAACGGATCTCCTTCCTTTCATCGACCTTCACAGGCCGCCATATTTCCTCCCGAATGATAAGAGTTTCGAGTCACGCGAGATAAGCTCGTACAATCGAGGGTCGTAGTTTCGCCGCCACGACGCGTTTTCTTTTGTCGCCGATTAGGGTGTATTGTGGCGCTGTTGCGGGGCAAGTGTTGTTAATAAGTTTTATCTATTTGATAAGGAAATAATAGAAAGGGGGAAACGCGTAATAACGCGACTTTATTATGTGACGCAACTACTGATATCAAATTTAGATGGAACATAGTGCACAGTAGTGTACGGTAATTATGAAAAAAAGTTTGAAATTAGGTGTAATTTGTAGTAACGAGTTTAATCGATTGAAAAAATGTGTTAGTTCAAAGAGTTTGCTCATTTCATTTGATTATTATAGGTTTATTTCACTTGTCTGAGCATTGCTAGTTTCATCCACTCGATTTATTGCATTTAGTGCCTGATTCATTTCATTTATTTATGATCCACTTATTCTATTTATCCGACCATTAGATTATTCTATTCCTTTGATTGTATATTTCATTAAATATACCACGATTGATTTATTTTTACTTATCTATTTGGCCAGCGTATTCCACTTGGCCAATAGTGATTGATCTGTTCCATTATCCAACTATTTTTGGCCCAGTTTATTTATCTGCCTAATTTAATCATCCATACATCTAATCCTCGACTCAATCCTTAATGGAATTAGATTTCGCTTTTCCATCTACGACGATCAATAGAAAATGTGTAAATAGTTTACGACTCTCAACTCTGACTCGACGAGACAATATCGCACAATCGCAAGGGGAGGAATAATAAAGGAAGTTAAAAAAAAAAAGAGAAAACGATTGTCGAGAGAAGAAAGCCTTCCCTTCTCTGGGGGAATAACGTAAAATGTAATGAAACGCAGCCTGTTCGCTGTAAATATGCAAGCATAACGTTCAAAGGAACGTAAAAGCGGACGACGACGATTGCCCACGCGTTCCAATAAGAGGTGTTGATAATAAAACCTGCAGATTCGCTATTTTTATACGCGAAATTATCGCGCATTCGTTGCCAGAATTCTTGGCGAAACAGGGGGCATTGTAAATAGGTTCCGCGGGTCGTTTTAAACTGGTCGTGAGTAAATGTTGGGGGGCGATGGGAAACCAATTGAACGTTTTTCACGGTAAAAGGTAAAAGCGCATTGTATCAGGAGGGAAGAATTGTTGCTACAATTGGCGGGGAACAGTAACGCGAAGGTAATGGGATGGGTATAAGAACGTGGAATTCCTCGAATCGAATAATACCCTTCAATGTATCACGATCATTGCTACGGCTCATGCATCTCCAGATAAATTGTTTGCTTTTAATCCTTTCCAGGGATAATTTTGCTTTGTCCTTATTTCTTTGATGCGTTTATAAGTGTTTATAAATGTCCATGGTGGTGGTATGTAATTTTATAATCTTCTTTAAAATGGAAAATATATACAACGCGCTTTTATCGTGGAAAATTTTAAACTAGAATGGCTTTTATCTTATAGAAAACTTAAGCTACGCATGAATTTTTTACTTACCTTTTACCAAGGATTAAACGAACATTGCAAACCACGTTAAATTTAACAAATAAGTTAATCAACGTTATTAAAGCTAAAGTGAAGCTTGGTAAATGTAATGGAGTGCCCCGCAATTCTCTATAATTACATCATACAGTGTAACAGTATCTCTCCAATTCTATATTTCGATTGAATTGCTTGAATACACGTATGTGTTATTAATCAAAATTAGGTATTATCTAATAATAATATGTTCAATTTCACTTAACTGTATTGTCAGTGAAACGAGCACATGTATCTAGAATATGATAATTCTGATAATATTACAACGTTCCATTTTCCGTAAAATTATCTGGTACTTCTTGAAAAAAATTCCTTTTCAACGAATCGAAGCATCCATTATACAATTATATTCATAATTTAAAAAAAAGAAAAAATGATTCAATTCGTGATCGAAATTGTATCCAAAAAAAAAAAATATATCAGCTATCAATTGGAATTTTATTGTCTTGGCGAACTTTTCGTTTCGATACTTATTAGAGTGGAGTGAAACCGGAAACCGGACTATTTACGTACATCGTGCGCGTTTTGGCTCACGTGCATAATTCGTTGGAACGGATGACCGAGCACAGCCACAAAATACGGTAAAAGTTGCAGGAAAATGTGGAACGCGGAAGTTTTGCAGGTTTGTGCGACTGGCCGGAATGATAAATCGTTTAACGTAATTTAATTATATGGCCGGTGTATAGCGGAAGCGGTGAATATATAGGATGGAATAAATAATTACTTTCTATGACAGATATTAATGAGCCGTGGCTATAGACGCATTAGAGAATCAAACTTCGAATCTTGAATGGACGATATTCATATTGTTACGAGTAATATTCGGACGTAAAAAGTTGAGTGGTTCAAGCGGTTTGAAATGGAATTTCGTTGTAATAATGAATGGTAATGAAAAGAAAATTGAAAGAAGACGGTTTAGAATAGTGGGGAATATTTTTGAAAGATTAAAATTATCGCATAACATTGAATTTTTTTACGTTAAAAAGGAATATTCTTACAGTACAGTTTTATTGTACATTTATTTTTTAATGGTATATATATTTTAAAAACATCGTATATATCCTAATGAGAAACCTTCCTTAACATCAAGCTGAATTAAAAATATTTTACATTTAAAAAAGAGTAAGAGCGTTCCAAGTTCATCTTAAGTAGATGGAGGTTTCGCCTTCTGCACTTATAAATTCGGCACTGTCAAAGTAGGTCGTCTCCTCTGAACTTTTAGCCGAACTTTCAACCTGGAAACTTCGATTTCCCCACAAATAGTGTTACGTCCGAATTTTCACCGATTCGGCTTCACCGAAGAAACTTACCCATCCAGAATTGCACGATTTAGTAAAAAATTAATTCTAAAAAAAAGCACGTATTCCCAAAATTCTATCAAACAAGATAAAGATTAATTTATAATAAATATTCAAACCATATAGATTTTCTATATTCCATGCTTCGTCCATATAATAAATATTTAATAAATATTTTTTGTTCAGGAAAACATTTTTTATAGAAAATAATATCATTCTTATACAGTTTCTATTATAAATTGATTGAAATGTTACGTTATCGAAATTACTCGAGCGACGTATATCGATTTTTAAAGTCGATAGAATAATTATGAGCTGTGGTGTATATTAATAGCTCGAAAGTGACAGAAACATTGAGGTCGCGGTTTTAAAAGTTGCTTATTGGGTCGTGGTATATTTGAGAGATACAGCAATTTAAAATTTCGTATTCCTCTGTCAATTTTTCTAAAAAAAGAAATCATACGCGAGAAACAATGGAAATTACTGGATTAAACGAACTATAAATATTTCTCGTACGAAAGAAAAATGTACGCTTCAAAGCAAAAATAAAAAGTATTTAATTATTTACAAATTATATAATTTATTTTTCTTTTTAAAAATTAATTTTTAATAAAGAAAAAATTGTTAAAAATATTATCGATATCACTTAATAAAATTATAAATTCAAATACCTCGAGTATCGATACGCTAATAATTTCAAGCATTTTCTTTTTCGCGATAAATAGATGCTGAAATATTGACGCGAGGATTAATCAAAATCAATTGAATTTATTTTCCCTCTTAAAACACGAATTAATTGTATGCGATTTATACACTCGAAACTCTAATGAAAATCGTTCTGTTTGTGTTGTAGTGAATGTCGTGGATGGCGAGGTGTTGCACATCGTGAAGATAAGTCGATTGCACATGGGAGCATACTTGTGCATCGCTTCGAACGACGTTCCGCCGCGAGTTAGCCAACGCATATCTCTTCGCGTGCAATGTGAGTATACCGAAATATTCCCTCAAATATATCCCTCAAATAGTGGCGAAGCGTGTCTGTTTATTGGACTGCTTTATATGCATGTTAATCCTAAACTGCCCCGTTAAATTTTGTGAACGTGTTATATTAACTTCAACCATGCGTAAACCATGCTTCCCTTTTCGAACGGAAGCTTTTCAAAAACTGCGTTCGTGGAAAAATATTTGAAGTTGCTTGAATATTTGTACCGCTCCCGTTTTCCGCCATTTCAAATATATATTTTTGAATGGAAAGTTTTCGAAACTGTTCGTGTCAAATTATTTCTCATTTTTAATACGTAATATCATTTTTATTATCGCGTAACATTTTCTCGCATCGTTCAATCGAAAAGAACGAAGAGAATGAAATTTATATAGGGATTTGTATTGGAATTTTTTCCAATGAGGTGAACACAATTTGTATCTCGTTATCGTACATTATAATGACTTTCATTTTGAAGTAAATTCATTTTAAATAAAACTATACTTTTTTTCTGATAGGATACAATAATAGAGCAAAAATCAGTATGATTGATTTTTATCAATGACAACAAACAAAATTGGAAATTTTGGCTTGGAGAATCATCCATAAAAATGTTTGAACATTTAGTTGATGCATAATATTTAACATTCTATTTAAGAAACAAACTGATATAAATGTATATAAAAATTGCACGACAATTATTTCATCCATAAAAAGTGTCACTGTCACTACTCGTGTCGCAATGACAAATTTCAGAATAGATAATTCTCAACAAAAATTGGAAAATTCCAATGAGAAACTCAATTACAGCAAGGATGATACGTTTGAATAGATAAATTTTGAACGAACGATAACGTAGCGCGCGATATCTCGATAAAGAGTGATTGTTCTATCCTAGGCGATGCATTAGGTTGGTTTTCAACGTCTCATTTAGCCAGCGATTTACGGCCGACCACTTGACCCAGATATGCTCGATGTACCTAGATCCGTTCATCCCCCTCACGGCCGTCACGTTCATCCAGTTTTAGGGTGCGAAACGCGTTTCCGCCCTGTCTTTTCCGACACATTAGCCTCCGTTCTACCGCATGGATGGACACGAGCGTTAATAATCGCCCGATGAAACGTGAATTACAGTCTTCAAATGGAAATTTTTCATCGAGAGTCGCGTATTACTCGCGTTTAAGTATCTTCCGTTTTTAGTTATGCGAGAAAGAAATAATCGGATTTGAGATTTTAATTTTAATCATTTCATGCTACGTGCAAAAAATATTTTAAGTAGTTTTTAAATATTTAATATTATATTTTTACTTGTCCCATATATTTTCAGAATATATTATTACGATTGATAGATCTTTTAAAAGGTTTCTGTAACGCTATCCTATCATATCGTTTAACTTATTCACTCGAATAGTGAAAACTTACAGTTTTGAACGTAGCTCACGTATCCAATCAATATCATCGACGAGTAAAATTACACCATATTTTTTTTTTCTTTTTTTCTAAATTTTTCGAGTCAGATAGATAACCATTCCTTCCCAATATCGCGATCGGCTGAAACGCGTTATCCCAATATCAACTCGATAATTCAACAAAAACGTCAGAGGAAGAATATTGAGTGAACGAAGGACGCCATCGAACAAGAGTGATATCGTCTCGAATATACATGTTGGTAGTAAATTGTGATTTACGTTGGTTCGTAAAAGACGAAACTATGACACGATATTGCGGCCATGGAATATATCTGATCTCGGAGAAGCAAACATCGTATAATAATCGAAAATTCGAGAGGAATGTTTTCAACGGAGGAATCTCACGTTTCACGGAGTTCAAGTTTTTTGAGTGCATGAAATCTTTATATAGAACACGTTGGAAAAATGAACAAAAATTAAAGTATATAAAGATGGATAACTACGATTGACTTATTTCGTTCGTTTAACTATGATTAACCTTATTTATCTGACTATTATTAATTCATTTGGATTGACTGATCTACTTTTTTTTTTTGATCATAATTATTTAAATATGTCTCACGTGCTTAAATGTGGCTGGCCTATTTTTATTTGTCGACATATTCCACTTATTTGATTAGACCTATCTGGTTCCACTCGACTGATCATGACTGATCTATTCCATTTGTCTAACTATTATTGATGTATTCTACTTCTCTAAGCTAGTCTATTTTATTTTTCTAAATTACACGCAATTAATCTATCTTACTTTTATAAAGAGATTTGAAAATTTGGAAAAATTGATTTTATTGTATTTATATTTTATTTTATTACTTTTTTTTTAAATATTTTGTACGATTATTTCTTATTAGAATTTGTGGAATTAATTATTAACTTCTTAATTATATTTATGGAATATAACTATTTGATTAATCAATATTGATGTGACAAACATATCGAAAAGTTTTAACGAAATTCGTTATAAGTTAGTGGATTTTCTAGGATTTACAGAATTGCAAACAGAGAGTTCTGATGCACTAGATTACGCAGTTCGAATAGTTCTAAATTTGGGTAGAACAAAGCGTGGAAAGTTTCGTCGCTAAAGTTCAAAGCTCACCTAATCCCAAAAATTGATCCAACCTATTTCAAATATCCACCTTTTCGATTACGTAATTTCCTTATTATCTGAATAAGTATGTATCTTCATTCGTTCATTTTATCAATGAAATTTTGAGCAAGAATATATTTTACGAGAAGAATATAAACAGGATATTTGAGATTATCCGAAATTATATTTAAATTAATAATAAAAGAGGAATTAATTATATCACGTTACTATTTTTATCGTTGCAGTTCCTCCTATGCTTTCGATACCAAATCAATTAGAAGCGGCATATATTGGACAAGATGTCACGTTGGAATGTCACACAGAAGCTTATCCTACCTCGATTAATTATTGGACGACCGAACGTGGCGATATGATTGTCTCCGGTAATTTTAACTGTGATACAATTATATTTATACTTGATTATAATTATTTGTTACACGAAAAGAACAAAATTTTCTGTATACAGTTCTCGAGGAGAACGTTCTCTAAGAATTTTGAGATTTTTATTTGAATTTGAATTAACGTAGAAAAATATTTTGAATTATTCTAATAAAGTATACTTTTCTTTATATTTTTTAAAAATCATTATTAAAATTATTTTAAATAAAATGCAAATCTAAATTTATAAAATATTTATACAACATATTTATTGTTAATTTCGTTTTACATTTATATCTTATTGATCATCTTCTTAAAAAATACTTGAAATTTTGTTCTTTACGCAACAGCCCTTTTTTATGTTTCGAAGCTTTAAAAAAAGTTATGTCGATACCATAAATGTATTCTTAGGAGCTCTCTCACAAAATATAGCTGAGGAAATATTTTGCTATATAAAATTCTTAAAAAAACTTCATCTACGTGATATAATACTAATTCTTTTTTATTTCAACTTTATGTTCTTTTCTTAACAAATAAGAAAAAGTAATTAGTATCATTTTATTTAATAATCAAAATATTGTTTTATTTTTTTAATAAAACTTTCTTCTATTCTATATAATACGAGAAATTGCAGTCTCGTCTAGTTATTCAAACAAGTGCATGCGCATTCATTTTGTTTGTTTAGCGATAAATTTCGCAATACACACGTATACACACGTATCAAACACGAGAAGTACGAAATATTCACGCAAACACTGCTTCGTTCGATATGCCTTGGCGTTTGTTCTTCCATGCATAAACTTTTTCAAACTACGAAGAACGTGGTTTTATTTGCCTAGGCAATTACCATTCTATTGCAGGCGATAAATATGAGGCGGTGTCCACCGACAACGGGTACAACAAGTACATGATGCTGAAGATTAGAAATGTCGGCCCGAAGGATTTTGGCTCGTACAAATGCGTGGCCCAAAATTCCCTCGGTGGAACTGACGGGGACATTAAATTAGATGGTGAGTAATTTCACGTATAATTTTCTCGTACATCGCCACTTTTTTGGTAAAATTTGGATATATTAGCTGAGTATTTTAAATCTTAGAAGAGAGAGGAAGATAGATAAGATAGTGTGTATTGAATTATGAAAATGTGACGTGGTTGAAAAATAAATTAGAAAATTATTATTTTGAGTCAATTTGTTATATCTTTCGATTAAATTTTCAATTAATTTTGATATAATCAGATGCCAAATTTTTATTCGATTGTATTCTATTTGAATTCGTTTTTGTATTATATGTTATTTGAAAAATTAAGTAATTCTTTCTTGACGTATATACGATCTTGTAATGAAAAAAATGAATAGATTTTCAATAGATTTTGCGCAAAAAACTCGTATCATTTCCTAGTCGATGGTTATCGATCGTTTGACGAGGTCAAGCATCCTTATCGTTTCAACGTGCCTCGTAATTGGCGATTAAATTTACGAAAGATATATTTATCCCGAGAGAGTATACTTTTCCACCTCCTTGGGTGAATAAATTGGCTGAAATTAAAAGTTTAACGAGATACGTCGTAATGTCGATTTCTGTGATACGAATATATGAGGGAATTTCACTCTCAAATCTTTTCATTTTTGGGATATATTTGTATATATTTTATGTACAAATCTTATATATTATCAAAAAATTAGAAATCTGTTTAAAATCATTAATTTAGAAATGAATAATAAAGTAAAAAATAAAAAATAGAAAAAATGTATATATATCTGTTTTACAGAAAGAAAAAGTAATGATTTAAACATAAAATCTAGCGAATATTTATATCCACGAAAATATTCAAACTTCATCTTTTCCTTCACAGAGATTCCAGCACCATCTACGACGTCCACGACACCGCCACCCTATCACGTGACTACATCGATGAAGAAGAACGGTAACTAACCTCAAATTTATCGGGTATTCAGCCTATTTGCGCTATTTTTTATCCCACATCAAAATCACGACACTAAAAATACATGAATATAACACAAAAGTGGAAAAAAAAAAAGAAGTATTCATCTTAATCAAAATTCTTTTGAAGAAAGAACAACTTTTAAGCGAAAATATTAAACAAAGAAAAAATTAAAAATGAAAAATTAGACAAAAGTATATTCCAAGAAAAAAAAAAGAAGAAGAAGAAGAGAGCGAAAAATTAGGCAGAATTAGCCGAGAGTTTAATTTTCATTTTTTGTAAAACGTCGCACACACACGATCTTTGCACGGATATCCTCCTCATCCGCCCACCCTCCTTGCTATTTTTTCCCTTCATCCCCTGAAGTAAGGACATCTATTCCCGTGTTTCTTCATCTCACGATTCATCATAAAACACACCATGTAAAACCGCCTTTGTGTAATGCATTTTAGGTAGAAACGGTAACAAGAAATTACGACAACGACCTATCGACTACGAGGTCGAGGAATGGCGAAATCCAGGTCAGTAAATATCTATTTTAACGCGGGCCGCATACCTCAGGCATTTCCCACGACGATACACCCTGGTGGCTGCCTGTTGTACCGCTTCGTTCGAGTAATTAGCGTAATTAAAACCTCGTCAACGGTGCACATTCGAGGTGGAGAGATTCTCCGGTGAATCCACTAAATTGCCAATGTTCGGTGATCTCCCTTTATCCGTGAACGAATTACTTCACGTTACTTGGCTCCCTTTAACTGGCCGGAATGGATTTCAGAACTACACTTTCGACAACAGTGATTTTACCGATGGCTCCTCTGATTTCCGCATCGATCTCTTCACTTTTATTTTTGACGTTTTTTTTTCA